ATTCTCAGCCTGACCTTCAGGTCTTTTACATAAATGCCCAATGTGTGGCTAGCCTGGAAAACACAATGTAAACCCCACTACAATCTCTTATCTGAAATTACAAATCCAAAATGCTCTGAAAACTGCAAATTTTTCCTGAGTGTATGGTAAACTCATTTGGTGGTGAATCTGACCTGAACTGACAGGGAGATATTTATAGTCTTTATTTATTCCACTTAGTGTGAATGTTCAAACATTTCCCTAGAGAAGCATTAATGTGTTGGAATACTGTCCTCAGTCCTTGCTGTGGGTATACATATTTATTTGTTTTCTTTTTCTTGTTTTTTTATTCACTTTCTTGTGGGGGTTTGGGGAGCCAGATTCCTGATGAAAACTGGAGAGTGTACTACACAAATTCCAAAATTTTGTAACATTGTGGGCATATATCGAGACAGTATGGAAACAAGAAGACAGTAACACAGGGTCCCACAACACTTAACAAACACCCTGCACTTGGCTAAAAGCTCTGCTGTGGCATCATGAAATCCCTAATCATTTTTTAACAAGAGTCCTTGCCTCCCATCCCTCCCCACACGGAGCCCTGCAAATTATGTAGCTAGTCTGAGTACAAGCACTGCAGTGCTCTTCTAAAATCAGAAAAGTTGTGAGCTCTGAAACACATCTGACCCTAGGCTCTGGCTAAGGGACCTATGTTGCTACACTGCCAGTATTACTTCTATTGTTACTAACGCCATGGATTGAGTGCCTCCTGTAGGCAAATGATTTCCTAAGGACTTTACACATATTAGATATAACCCTGTGAGGTACATATTATGTTATTCTTTTTTTTAATTTAGTAAAATGAGGTTCTGAAAGTTACCCTAAAGTTTTAAGGTCACCCAGCTAGTAAATGACAGCGTTGTAATTCAAACTAAGGTCTGCTTGACTCTAGAACTTGTTTAATATTCTAGGAGGTAAGGTGCTTTGGAAGTATTAGGATAAATCATGACACTGCCAATATCTAATCATTTCTACATAGAAAATGTAAAAGTCAATTTACATTTTACATATAGCACTCATGGGCACCATGAATGGGGAGCTCGTAAATCAGCTTACGAAGGATGAACTAGTAATATCAAAAGAGTGTTCCTGTTTCCTGGTGAGTAATTGTTAATCAATACCTTCCAAATCAAACCCCTTGCAATAAGCACATTTTTTTTTGTATTTTACTAGGAACTAATTGGAGAGATGGAAGTCTTCCAAAACAGTTCATATGGCTTAACTTAATATATATGAATGACTACTTATAAAACATAAGCTCTCTCTATTTCACTTATGGGCTGTTTTTTTTTAAATTTGAAACGATGACCAAACTAATCCTTTTCCTAAAATGTAAATAAAAGTTTGCAGTGAAGTCAGAAGAAAAATGTATGTAGTTCAAGTTAAAACAAGTTGCATGTCTCAGCCTGTCTCACTAGAGATAACATCACTGCTCCTAAATAGGGAGGACTGATCACATGGGAGACCCTGTTTTTATTGTGATCAGCTGCAGACTATCAGCAAGATGACCTCATCTGCAGCTGAGGGGATTTGACCTTTGCCCCTTTAGGCATGTGAAGCGGAAAAAAAATTCTTTGCAGGCTGAGGAATGCAAAACAGACAAGCATCTTAGCCAGCAGAGTTTATCAAGCATGTATTCAGTGCCAATGCTCAGACTTGGACATGATGCAAAAGCAATTAAGAGAAAGAACAGTGAGTGAGTAGCCTGGGAGTTGGATGGGTCCTTTGGTGATTCTCAGTAATACTAGAAAAATATATGTTTCATTTTTGAATAATAAAAGATAAGAAATGGGTCCTTTTAAAAATGCTTCTTGTACTGTAACAATAAGCAGATGGTAGAACTTAACTTCTTATTATAATCAGTTTCCTGTGAGAATATCTTAGACATGATCAAGTCAGTTAGATCTACCAATTGATGGATTTAACTGGCTAGTTTTAAAAACAAACTCTAAAACATGCTCTTCGCGATATTTTTAAATTGACACAGTGAAAGTGAGAGTTCAACAATAAAAGTCCGGGTTATACACTCACACATGTCTAGGAATGAGTAGAATATTAATGAGATAAGTTGCTTATTGTATATTCTTTCCTCATCCTGCTTGTGTCTACCTAACTCACAGACTGAAAAGCTTACAGTGTTACAGATTTCCTTCTGTTCAAAGACTTTTTATTAACCAGAAATTGCTTAATATTTTAGGATTTTGACATGTATTCTTTGATGTACCACTCATGGGCACCATGATGGGGAGCTCTTAAATTAGCTTAAGAAGCGTACGATCAAAAGAGTGCTCCTGTTTCCTGGTGAGTAATTGTTAATCAATACCTTCCAAATCAAACATCTTGCACGAAGCAGATTTCTTGTATTTTTGTAGTAACTAATTGGAGAGATGGAAGCCTTCCAAAGGGTTCTAGAATGCTGAAATATGAAACGTAAAAAAATATTTCATCCAGGTTAAAAAGGCAGCTTATTATTCTAATTTTCAGCAGTACATTTGCCAAGCCTTTTCACATTTCCTGAGTGATTTTTATCTTACCTACTGCTTCCCACTTCCCAAGTGGGAATATTTCAGCAATATTTTTGGTGGATGGAGATGAGGTTTTCTTTCTTTCTTTTTTTTATTGTATTTTAGGTTTGGGGGTACATGTGAAGTACATGCAAGATTGTTCCATAGGTACACGCATGGCAGTGTGATTTGCTGCCTTCCTCCCCTTCACGTATATCTGGCATTTCTCCCCATGCTCTCTCTCCCCAACTCCCCATCCCCCGTTGTCCCTCCCCTATTTCCCCCCAGCAGACCCCAGGGTGTAGTGCTCCCCTCCCTGTGTCCATGTGTTCTCATTGTTCAACACCCACCTATGAGTGAGAACATGCGGTGTTTGATTTTCTGTTCTTGTGTCAGTTTGCTGAGAATGATGGTTTCCAGGTTCATCCACGTCCCTACAAAGGACACGAACTCAGAGATGAGGTTTTCTAAGAGTTTTGCTTCGTTATGATTCAGGGTACTCAGAAAAATAGTCATTTACAAAAGCAAGCATCAAGAGATAGTGGAAAACTGTGTAAAAGAAAAGTGTTATACCCTAATGTTCACCACTAGGCGAATGGATAAATAAATTGGGGTTTATCCATACAACAGTATACTGCTGAGTTTAAAAATACCTCAACTATTGATATACTCAAAAACAGGAATAGATCTTAAAATAATTATACTGGGTGAAAAAAAGAACCCTAAAAGAAGACATTTAATGTGACTCTTCTGGTTATATAAAATTCGTCAAAAATGCAAACTAATTTATCGTGACGGAAGGCAAATGAGTGGTTGAGAACAAGGAGGGGAGGTGGGAGGGACAAGTGGAAAGTATTACAAAGGGGTAAATGAAGCTTTTGCATGTGATGAATATGTTTTTTTATCTTCATTGTAGGTAATGAATATGTTTGTTATCTTCCTTGCGGCGAAGATTTTGGAAGCGTATACATATATCCAAGCATATTAAATTGTACACTTTGTGCAATTTATTGTATGTCGGTTATATTGCCATACAGTTTTCAAATCTTTAAAGAAAATTAGGCATAAAAAAAGGTATTGCCGTTTGCCTTAGGTCACAGGTTTAGGTCAAGGAGGAACGAGGACTTGTAATTAGCTCTCTGAAACTAAAGCCAGCAAGGAGGAAGAAAAGATAATTCTTAAATATGATAGGCTTGCCAGTTAGAGAGGAGACCTCAACTGAGGAGGTTGCCTACTGGTTATCTGAAAGTTAGGAATGTTTCCATAGGGAAGCCTTTTCGGGGAGTGTTACTAGTTTGGATGATTTAATGTGAGGGCCGGTCTTCCATTTTAACCAGTTTTCTTTGCAGGGTATCTAAAAACGTGATGGACTTGATTAATCACAGAAAAACAAATATGATTTCATATTTATTTTGAAACTGGCTTTCCTCAACCAGTTTATGGGTATTTAGAAAGTAAGCCCTCAAGGATTGTAAAATAAATAGGTACTTGCAATATCTTGAAAAATTCTGAGAGAAGTCTTCACATTGTTTCCCTATAAGTAGGGGAACTGCTAGGAAAAAAAAAAAAAAACACAACAGGATGATGATTCCTTCGCCCAGGGCTTTTCAGCTGTAAAAATTATTGACATTTAGAGTTGGATGCTTTTGTCGTGAGCGACACCCTGTGCATTATAGGATGTTTACCAGCAGCACTCTTGTTCTCTAACCACTAAATGCCCAGAGCACAGTCCTCTTAGTTCTGACAACCAAAAATGTCTTCGACATTGACCAAATGTCCCGTGGAGTACAAAGCTGCCCGATTGAGAACCACTACATCAGATTCACTGTCGTGTTTGATAAAAATTCAGAACTTTTAAACAAGCAAACTAATTTAGAGAATAAAGGTTGATAGCATTACTATAAACCTTTAAAAAGAGCTTCTGCAAGCCAGTTAAAAACTATACTGCTAGAAACAGAAATATAAACAGACAAGAACTTCTAATATTTCAAATTAGCTTGCCACTGGTAGTTTAAAAATTTACATTACTTCCAAGCTGGCTCCTCTTTGCTGCTTAGCGGGTTGGGCAAACATTCTCTAATTTTATTGCCTACCTATACAGCATTTCAAGACAGTAGTTTCAGCTGATCGCCTCTCAGCCAATAAACATCTGGTAGCATTGGATCTTTCCTTACGCTTCGAACAATAGCAGCCATTGGCTTTAAACAATGCTTACAGCCCGTTATGAAGTGGCCAGTTGTAATAAATTGTATTTTAAACATTAGTACAGAAAAAGTTTATCACACTTGAAATCATCTTGTTTCCATTATCCAAACAAACCCAGGTTTACATTAATTAAATGTGATGCCATTCTGATTTAAACTAGACAGCAAAAAACCCAGAACTAAAAGAAAAGCTCAATGATATAATCAAGGTATTTGAATGAGTGGTTGCAGTAACGTTCTCATTTTGTGATTATAACTTTATATTTAAATGTAAAGATTTATTGTGTACATGTATATAATGTAAACCACATTAAAACATTTGGAAGAGATGATAAATGTGTAAATAATGAATAATTTGTGATCTTTTTTGCTAAAATGACAATAGGTAGAAGTTCTAATCCTAAGAAAAAGAAACCATGTAAATGTTTGGAGAAGGCCTCTAAATATGGATTCATCAATGTAATATTTGTATTCAAGGCCATTGATAAAAGACACATTGTATATGTGATCATTTCAGACCCTTCCGCAATGCAGAGAAAGGATCTATTAGCATGCTAATGTATGCTAAAGGATAAGTAATTCCTCCCCTTCTTCTTCTGCTAAATACTGGTCACAAAGCTTAGATTCAACGTCAGACAAATCTGAAAGCTGGTACTCGAAGTCACTAGGGAAGAGAAAAGCTTTATGCCCGTAGCTGGGTCCATGCACAAAGCCAAGGATTCAGTAAAGTACTGTGGCTTACATTCCAGCTGCGTGATCATCTCCCTCTGTGACCTCGGACAAATGATTATGCTTCCACATTCTTATTTCTTCATCTGTAAAAAACGACAAGAAAAGTTTGGATGGGGAGATCTCAGTGTTCATACTCAAACCATAGATCATATTCTTATAATTAAAACCACAACATAACCCAGGTCTACAAATCTATAGCAGATGCCAGAATATTATATCATTTATCGCCAAAAATCTGCTTATATTCCATCAGACGCAGACACAAAGGTGATGTATTCTTTAACAGGCAAAATAAATCCCAGTAGAGCACACTACTGGCATTGTTCTTTCCCTGCATTCAGCTCATTAAAAACAGAGCGATCTTATGGGAACCTTAAAAAAAATGACTGAATATACACAGTGAAGCACTTCTTAAGAGTACATAATTTTAATTTTAATCAAAATCCCAATTTTATTTTTAATATTAGCCTTCATCAAGAATGTGAAAAACAAAACCAAGAAAATATACTTGGTTTAGTCCTTTAGTTTAATAAAAGCAAATTGTTTCTAGTCTTCGTTCTATGAATAACAAGGTATGTGACTTGGACAAATATGGATGATTTATAGAAAATAATATATAATCATTATACATTTATATTTAAGAGTCTTTACAGTAACATTCAGGGTAATTATGACATCTAGTAAAAAATGATTTAGAAGAGTTTTTGCATTTTCAATAACTTAGAAAACTGTTCACAGAATACTAAGTGAATATACAAAAAAAGAAGTAAAAATTATATGTATAGTATAATATCAACTATCAAAAAAATGCCAGGAGTAGTAGAAAAATCTACCAAAATGTTAGCAATAGTGTTCTTATTTATTGCGGTAAAATTGTAAATGATATTTTTCTCGTCTTACAACATTTCTCTTTATTATAATATTCTCTAACACCTACATATTATTTTACAATCAGAAAATAATAAACTGTGAAAGAAAATAAAACTCCCATGCAAAGAGAACTTCAGTTTCCATCTGTTAATTTCTGCGCACTGTAGTACCCACTATTACTGAGAATGCTCAGATAATCTTGCGCACCAATGACATTTCAGAATCAGGGGATTAGTTATATCTCATGCCTTGCAAAAAAAAAAAATTGATTTCCAGGTATTACTTACTTCCTCTGCTCATTATTGCAGCCAGAGACCAGGGCTGTCAGTGAAGAAATAACTTTCCTTGCCTCAGAGCAGGAAGCCTTCAATTCCAAGGGAAGAGATGGCAATGGGAAGGAGTAACAGTGCTGGAGAATGCCTTATTGATGAAGCCACAAAATAGCTTTCTAAACGATCAGAAGTCGTGCCTAGCAAATGCATCAGCAAATCTCTGTGTCTTCATTACCCAACCTACTTCCTCAGGAAACCACCTACTTTTCCCACAGAGGAGTCATAAGCAGTTAGTGTCAGCTCAGAAGCGGCCACAACTCCCCACATTCTCCCAAGAGCTTCTAGTGTCTTTCTGAAATATACACACACAGCTCTTTCTGGGTATATGGCTCATTTCTTCATTTACTCTGTACTTACTGAGAACCAAATATGTGTCAAGCCCAGGAGACAAAAATATCTCCTCATTTAAAACATGTAAGCCAAGCATCTTGAGGTGCCTCAAAGTATTATAGAAAAGGTTGCATTTTAGAGTAAGGTAGATGGGCTTGAGACCCAACAGGAAAATAATATTTACGGTTGGACTTGGTTAATTTATTTAGCCTTTCTGAACTTTGATTAATATTCTACAATGGGGTTAGTCATACAGATATTATCTTAACTATCTGGCACATAATTGTGATTATCAGTAAATAATTTTACCTTGTTGTTAGTAACATATATTTATTAACAATTAAACATAAGAGAGGCATATTCTGGAAAAAAATCATTACTACTTTAGAAGCACACTGAAAAATAGAATAATCAATACATATAATTAGAGCAGTATGTCCCTGAGGAAGTTTGATGGAGAATGGTCCATTAGTCCCTCAGTAATTTGAAATAAACTGAAATCTTTCTAGACATTTAAAATGTTTTATCTATTTCTGACAGAAGCACTAATTTTAACATAGAAGCTCTTCAAGTAAGTTGCTAACTGTAAAGTATCCTAACAAAACCATCTGTTTCTGATTAACCCAAACTGAGTGAAAACGAGAGAAAAACATACTGTTAAATTTTGGCTAAAGCAAAAGTTAAATGCTTCAGAAAAAATGTAACCAACTCTTCTGGTTGGACCAGACTCTTTGAGAAAACAAGTTAGAGAAAACAAGTCAGAAAAGTCGCTTTGTATCTTCATTCATTATTTGCTAGGTAGTGGAGACAACAAAAGTGTCCCTGAATGAAAACAGAAAGGAAAAGTTATAAGGGTGCACAGGGTCAAATGTTCTGTTTTGCTGAGAGGGAGGATATGTAGAGGAATCACATGGGAATGAGGCTGAGGGGAAGGTGGGATGGCATTTGGACAGGATATAGATTCCAACCCGAGGTATTGGTATTTAAGTCCTCATCATTTCATTTAAAATTTATAACATCTGCATGAACTAAGCATTTTGATGATGAGGAAACCAATTCCCATTAAGAGATTTGGCCAAGGTCACGCAGCAAGAAAGGGGAAGACAGGTTTGAAACCCAGTTTCCTGATTCCTAGGTCAGAGTTGACTGCCTGATTCCTAACAGACCCCTTAACGATGCCTAAACTCAAAATTTGGAAGACTGGAGTAAGAAGGGTGTGGTGGCTCACGCCTATAATCCCAGCACTTTGGGAGGCCGAAGTGGGTGGATCACAAGGTCAAGAGATCGAGGCCATCCTGGTCAACAAGGTGAAACCCGTCTCTACTAAAAATAGAAAAATTAGGTGGGCATGGTGGCACGTGCCTGTAATCCCAGCTACTCAGGAGGCTGAGGCAGGAGAATTGCCTGAACCCAGGAGGCAGAGGTTGCGGTGACCCGAGATCGCGCCATTGCACTCCAGCCTGGGTAACAAGAGCGAAACTCCATCTCCAAAAAAAAAAAAAAAAAGAAACAAAGAAAGAAAGAAAAAGAAAATGTGCTTATAATGATTACATTGTTTTATAACCCTATGGTATAGCATGTAAAGTGACAAATTTATTCTGGCAGCATCCTTAGAACTCATGTAAACAATAGGTGTCAAGAAAGTATCATAAGGAAATGAGACAGAAATCACAGGTGTATACTAATTATTAAAAAATCACTTAGAAGGTAAGTAAATCAGAAGGATTTTCCTTTCTAGAGAAATGATCTAATAGAGGAAAAACATGTCTGTCTTTCCTGGGATGTCTTGCCACAATTTCAAAAGGATTGTTTTGCTTTTGACGTAATTTCTCCCATGACATTCTTTGATCTTCAGATTAACTAAAATATGTGAAGTCCCTGTTTGCTGAGAACAAAAGAGAACAATAATTATTCATAGCCCTTCACCTGCTCTCTTCAAGCTATGATAGGATTCACAGCAAGGAAATAGCTGGCAACACTTGAAAACCCCATCTATATGTTCTTACATATGCTGTTCCAGAAGGGGCAGGCACTTACTCCTCCTGACCTCTATAACTTTCCTTTCCCCATATATAGAATTACTGGATCCCCATCTGCAAACTCCGTCTTTTATCCCCCATCTGTGAGACCAATTCTGACATCTGGCAGAAAAGATGTAAATCACGTTGATTCTCTATTCTAGCATTCATCATCCTGTGCCTCTTGCTCCTAGACAGGTCTTCGACTTGTATCCCAGTCTCTGACTGTGGGCAATTAAAAGACAGCAACTATGTCTTATCTTATACCCCAGAGCCTAATATATTGGTGGCATACACATAGTCAATAAATGTTTGCTGACTGACTGACTGGTGGAATGGAGCCTCTGCCTTGGTGAAACCCAGTCGCCACTTGCTTGGTAACTCAATATCTGTTCTACTCTGTGTTTAAGTTCTTGCTTTGGTTACCTTCTTAGTAGTCTAGCTTTTCAGGGATATAGGATCATGTCTTACACCTGGAAATGTACTTCACAGGTTATGATTCCTTTTCATGAGCTCCTACTGATAAATTTTTGAAAATGATAGAATTTGCCTTGCTTCTTGAATCTCCACGTATCATTTCTCCCCAGCTTCACCACCGCCCTGACATAATGACTTGCTGTGAGATGGCATCACGCTGGGTAGGTTGTGTTTGTTTAAGCTATCACATTGGTGACTATAATATATACTACTAAATGTCTTCTGCTAATCTATTTTCCTGGTGGTACTTGGATCATAAAAAGCACCTCACATCTTACCACAGACTTATTTCATTAATCTATAAAGTGTATTACTATACAGATTATATCAAGATTCCATGAAGTAATCCATCAATTGCCAAAAAAAAAAATAAAGAGAGAGAGATGAGATAGGTAAAATAAATAAATGTATTAGCTAACACAGGATAATTAAGTCACTTTGAAATTCCTCATTGTCCTTAACAAAATAGGATATGTATATTTGTGTGTGTTTGTGTGTCTGTGTGTGTATAGATTTGATTTTTGTTTGAGTAAGTTAAGCAACTGTCTCTGACCTCTGTTTTCTTTCTGTTGAAACAATAGGTCTGTAAACACTACTGCAGATTGAAAGTTTTCTTCTTAAGCTCCTGCTTCATCTTCTTTCTCACAGAGTTGAACAACCTAACAGGCTGAAGCAAATCACACTCTGGAGAGCTACATTATTTTAATTTGCTATGATTCCATTTTAAGGCATCTGGAGACCCAAGAGTCTCATCCATGACCATTAAAACCTCATATCCAAGACAACACCCCAACTACAAACAACCTATGCCAGCTTGTGGTCTAAAAGGAAGAACCACCAAGGCTTAGAAAAGATCCCTCAAATTTGGAAAAATCAGAGGAGTTTGTTGTCTTCACAAAATAATTGACATTGTCATCAGTTTTTCAAAATTATTTCTTAGCCACTAAGCAATGAGCTAAGAGGAAAATGACTCACAGTTTCAAAGACAAGTTGGTGCCAAGTTGAGGCAGGGTGATGATTCCCTTTATTCTACCTCAGTGCACTTCATCCTTAAACCAATCGTTTAAAGAATATGCTTAACTTTTCACATAGATTCACATTAGCAAAGGGATCATGAGGTCATGTTTGTCCATGTAACACCACATCCTGCTTCCAGTAATGGCTAGAGAATTCCTCAGAGGAAAGGGTGATGTTCATTTCATAATACTGTTGGTTAGCAATGAGATGAAACACTCAAGTGAAAGTATTTTCTTTTAACATTTCTTCACTACATGAGAAAATATGCTAAATTTAATGTTTAAGGACAAAACGATATTAGGTCAATTTTCTTCAGTCTAACTCCAAGATATAATTAGGTCACTTAATGTTAGAACTGAGTAATTTTAATAATGACTTTGATTTAAAGTTCAGAGGAAGTAAATTTTTAAGTTATATGCAATTATCGTAGAATATGATAATTATATTCAAATTTATCTCCATAGCTGATTTCTATAGAAAGTCATAAAAAGAACTGGGGAGAAGGAATGTAAGATCCCAGAAGCCTGCCAACATATAAAACCCCAAGTCAAAAGGTCAAACCACACACTTGACTCTCTCAAGTCACCTGCTTGGCCCTCTTCCAAGTGTATTTTACTTCCTTTCATTCTTGAGCTAATACTTTTAAATAAACATACACTCCTGCTCTAAGAAAACCATAAGAGGAGAAAGGTGAGTCCTATGAACTGAACATCTGTGTCCCCCCACCAAAACTCATGTTGAACCCCTACCCTGCAATGTGATGATATTTGGAGGTGACGCCTTTGGAAAATAATTAGGTTTAGACGAGGTCTTGAAGGTAAGGCCCACATGATGAGATTATTGTCCTTATAAGAAGAGAGAAGGACCAGAGCTCACTCTGTCTGCCATGTTAAGGATGAAGAAAGAAGGCAACCATCTGCATGCTAGGAAGTGGTCCTCACCAGACCCAGCCGCTCAGGCACCCTGATCTCAGACATCCAGCCTCCAGAACTGTGACAAATTGTTCTTGTTTCAGCCACTGGTCTATGATATTTTGCTATGGCAGCCCAGGCTGAGTAAACCAATGGGTACAGTTCAGTATTCGATTGACTGCTGATAATTGCCATTAGCTTTCCTTCTGGAGTAGATTAGACCTTTTTCTCAGAGGTGGGGAAAGGAAAAAGCCCATTTTGTCCTTTGTCTGTGACTGCCAAGTATCCATCCCTGGACTGAATTTAGGGAAATATTCTAAAGCACTTAGTTGTGGTTGCCTATGACCCACAACACACAGGAACTAAACAACCACAATCAATAACGTTGGCCTCTGCACAGATTTTCCAACAGTATTATATTATTATATGTCTTTAAATACCTATTATTGGTCATTCAGTACAGCAGAATTTTTTTTTAAGTTCTGGGGTACATGTGTAGGATGTGCAGGTTTGCTACATAGGTAAATGTG